CATGCATTTAGGGGTATTTTAGGAGAAGTCATTGTAGCTCAACCTTACAAGAAAAGAAACACTCTAGAAGTGTCTTGTTTGAAGTGGATAAGTGCTTTGAAAGTTCATAAGAAACACACTTTTTTTTTTATAATTAGAAACATTGTATTGATAAAAAGAAGGATAAGCAACCCTCCTTACGAAATACAGACAGAAAAAATCAGACTCCTTAGAGTCGAATGATGTTAAACAAAACTAGAAAACAAAGCTAAAAAACACACTTTTAATTATATATTAAGAGAAAAAAACTATTAAAAGAACTGGAGAGTCGACAAATGTGGTTTTATTTTTATACCTGCTTTGGCCTGTGGGTGTACCACTTCATCACGCATTAATTTGTCATTACTACACAACTTCTTGGACTTTTTGAAGCTTTCAGTAGCAGCTTTTAGCAAGGGCTCCGCACCAGGTTCTGGGAATACAGATAGGAACCTCACTTTAACACAATCTTTCAAGTTTTCAAGCATGTTATATGAAAACCATCCTGTCTCAGACTGCAAACATATAAGCTAAATGTCACCAACCAAAACCAACGCTAGCAAAAACTGAAAAAAATAGAAATTGTCAAATATTAGTACCGCTAAAAGTACAGTCTACTACTAACTTCATTAACATACATATTCCTATTAAATTCTACTCTTGCAATCTATCATTCTCTACATCCTCATTTCAGTACTTAAGACACTCAAGCATGTAGTACATACTTAACTTTTCTATCACCAACTGTTCTTACTCAACTTCCTCAATTCAGTAATGAGAAACTCATACATGCCATCTGACATATGGAATTTGAAGCCAAAAGGGAAAAAAAAAGGAACACTAAGTGATCAAACAGATCTTTGTTTTTAGCTTCCAGTCGATTTAATGGAATACGCAAACGGATTGTAAACACAGCTTATTTCGAGAAACTCACAGAGCAAATTGTCTGAGCTGGAGGTTTTCTTATCTGTTCTTGAATGTAATCATCACCAAGTTCAAATAGTTGCAATGTTGTATGGCACTTGTAAGGAAACACTCGAAATGCACAAATATCCTCCCACCTATGCTTTAGTCTGCAAGACACCCCAAAAGAAAACGGACAAAAACCAATTATTTCTATAGAAAAAATATTATTTACATTAACAATTGGGAATTAGAAAGTTTTGATGTTCAAAGCTAGAATAAGGATTGATAATTAAAAGGAAAAAAAAAAATCTAATTGCACAGTCCACAATAAGTATCCTCCAAATAATGCTTGAAAATCAAATACATAAGTTTGAATATATATACCCAAAACTAAAAAAGGTAAATTTTAGAAGTGTGACATGAACTTAAACACCAGATGTTAAATCTTTGGAAAAATTTACGGAATATGTCATCCTAATCTT